TCACAGCGCAGCAGCTCATAGAGATTCCCAGGGCCCTCCAGGCACCAGTGGGCCAGAGAGAACTGCTCTCAGGTCAGGGGTCACAGTCTCCACCCAGCCTCACCAGGGCAGGCTCTCTAGGGCCTCTGCCTACCTCAGACTCAGCACTCCCTGCCTGGCTGCAAGACCTGCTTCCTGGTCCCCTGGGGAGAACACTCTCCCCGAGGTTTGCTCTTACCCAGCCACCTCCCCACCAGCCTGGGGCTCTCCATGCTCACTCTCCTGGCCCTTCACCTTTAAGCTGGCTGACCAGGGCATCCCGTCCTGGCTCTGGGCTGTGGCCAGTTCAGCTCCTTCCTTAGGGAAGAAGCTTAGGGTGACAATCTCATGCCCCATGCACTCCCATGAGAAGCAGCAACATCTAGGCTGGCCAGGGTGAGGGGTGGGTCCCACACTGCTCAGGACAGGGTAACCCTTCCTTGCTTGTCACCCATTTCAGCACTTCAACCCACTTGGCAACAGCACGGGGCTCAGAAAACTGGGTGAGCAAGATGGCCAGTCTGTGAAACAGAGGGAGACATAGAGTGGCACTATTTAGATTTCACAGTAAAAATGTAGACTCCGGTGTCCCTAGTAGCCCAGCCCACGGTGGGGACCAGGAAGGACTCAAGCCAACTTAACCCACCAAACTGAGCAACAGTGACACACCCAACAACCAGGTGTTAATTAGCTTCTAAAAATGCCAAGTGGGGCCCAGACCCTCACAAGCATATTCAGACCCTATCTATCATGGTGGATACCTTAGAGCCCATCTCCTTCACCAGCCCCCCTCAGAGGTAGACCCTCTGGCCAGAGCTTTGCCAGGAGGTAGTCAGCTGGCCTCACCCTGGAAACTGCTTTGGGGACAAAGCCAGCCCCAAGTCCAGGCTGCTGACAGCCCCCTCCACTGCCCAGAAGTGAGGAAGGCTCTGCAAGCACCAGGAAGCCAGAGCTGGAGGTAGCCGCAGGCCTTCCCCCAGCTGGGCAAGATCCCAGAGGTTGGAGACCAGGCAGGGCTGGGCAGGACAGCCTGGAGGGAGAGCCACGCTGCACTGCCACAGCAGCACCCTTCCCAGCCTCCAACCAGTGCAGCAAGCCTCCCAAGAGCAGGGAGCTGAGGAAGCCCAGTCAGGCCTTGCGACTGTGGAAGGACAGGACTGGAGGCTGGCAGCAGCCCAGGAGCGAACCGTGCAGCAGAACAGGCAGCACCCAGCAGCAGCAAGAAGCCACCTCTTGTCTGGGCCAAGGCTGCCTGCACATGGCCTCCACACAGCCAGGGGCACGTGGAGCACTGTGCCCTAACACGCCAGGCCTGCCTGAGTGCCTGGTCCAGGCTAGTTTCTTTACAGAGAACCAGGAGCAGGAAAACTGCCCCAAGGAGGCAACACCTGGCCACCCTAGAGCTGAGGTTTGGGTCAGCTCCTGTGGCCAGGGGCTTGGACCAGAGAGGCAGGCGCCAAGGGCACAGCTGCATGGGTGGCCCAGCCAGGCTCTGAGCAGGCCTGCCTGCTGCTGGCCTGCTGGAGCAGCCTTGCCCAGACGTCAACGGATCAAAGGGACATACTAGGGGAAACGTAGCAGCTGCCAAAGCTCTCTGCCTTGAAGTTGAGTGCCCCAGGCAGGGGCTTTGGAGAGCCCAGGGTAGGTACAGGCAGGATCACCCTGGACGAACGCGCCCTGCAAACCCAGGGCTGTCCCCAGCCTGGAAAGCAAAGCCATCCCTGGAACCCAGGTTCTCCAGATTGAGGACATGGGTAAGTGTTGGAGCCAGAGACCAACACCCAACTTTCCAGAGCCCACCCAGGGCCACCCTAAGACTGAGGGGCAGCCTCAGGCTGAAAATCTAAGGACCTCACCCAAGAATGAGACTGGATACATCTCCACATGCATGGAAGAGAGGAAGGAGTCCTGTATTTCCAGAAAGATCTCTCGCTCAGGAGGAGGCTGTCCTGTCCCTGTGCTATCTGTGTTTCTGGGAACCCCTTTTCTCTCCATCAGGCTGGTCCCAACCCCCTGCAGAGGAGTGTGGACCCTATGTGCCCCTCCTCTTGCCCTAGGTCAGAGTGTCACAGCCAGACCCCACACTATCCTCCAAGGCCAGCTCCCTGTGGTCTCTACACAGCACCCGTTCCCACCCTTGTCCACAGGGAGCTCACTAACAGTGACAGTCACAACAGCACATCATGGATGCAGGGACTTGAATTGCTTGGTCTCTTTGAAAACCTGGCTTTGGAGTTGCTGAAAGATGAGCATGAAGTTGAACGAAAGTGAAGCTCATCACGCTCAAACAGCCTGTACCCCACACCCAGAAGCCGGGCCCAGCATCTCCCACTCCTCTGTGCTCCCTGGGACTCGGGTCACTCCTCCTGGAAGCCCGAATGCAAGGACTGCCCACTCTGACCATCGGGGCGAGGGGGCTCCCTGCAGCTGTCGTTCAGCCCTCACTCCACAGGGACAGGAGGGCAACTCCCAGCTCTGCCCCGCACATTCCTCCCTTTCACCTGCTTGGCACTTTAGGTCACTCATCTAGGCCACCACAGCTGTCCCAGCTCAGGGCTCCAGGGCAAGAGAAGTGGTCTTGGTGGGAGGCACACTGGCCACAGCAGCAACCCATCCACTCCTCCGGCATGCAGAGCCCCCAGGGACCCCTAACCATCCCAGGGCCCCCACTTCAACCCCAACCCAGGCTGCGGTCCACCCCAGGGAGCTCTAGCCTTGGGCCTATACCCCAGGGGCCCTGTGCCAGCTCTGCCCTGGTCTCTGGTTGGGTATGGCCGCATCCTGGGCTGTCCCAGGGGAGGCTGCCGCCAGGAGCGCCATGGCAAGCAGGGCACAGCCAGCCAGTCAGCTCTCATCATAGGAACAAAGCTGCAAGGACTGTCCTGCCCCAGCCTGAGCTCCCTCTGCCCCTCAGGGCCCCTCCTTAGTGAAGCAAGACCTCTACTCTCAGTGCCTGTCCTCTGATCCTCACAGGGCAGGAGACATGAGGATGACCACCGAGCACTCCTGTGCTGGCGAGTGTGGCCCCAACTATATCCCAGGCCTGGGCTTCTTTTGCCCTGGGGACAGGAGGCAGTGAGCCCAGCAGCACCACTCTGCACCTGACACCTGCGCTGAGCAAAGAGACACACACTCTTAGGTCCTTGCAAGTACAGGGAGGAGGCCAAGCCCTCACAAAGCCAGCCTGATCCTGGGCAAAGCAGCAGAGGTGGCGAGAGCCTGAGTGGTCCAGGCATACACACACACACACACACACACACACACACACACACACACACACACCCCAGTTCCCAACATCACTCCACTAAGAGGCCCTTTATTCTCAGATTTGGTCCTCTTGTTATCAAAAGACCTGTAGCAGGCTTCCTCTCCAGGGTCCTGAAGTCCTGCGTGGTGGTGAGGCCACCTTGCCAGAGGAGCTAAGGCTTTCTGTGGGGGAGGCAGCCAGGCACACGGGGTCATCTGGGCTGTGACTGTCATGACCTGCCATCCACAGGCCCAGAGATGGCCTAGGCACCGAACTAAGGTCACTCGGTCTGGCTGGCTGAAAGGAGGCCGGCGGCAGTGGGGGATCACCAGCCTGAGCCTAGGTGTGACCCTGGCAGGATTCCCCAGCCCACTGGCCCTGCCCATGGTGGAGGCCAGACTGCATGGGGAGCAGGCCTGGTGCATCTGGCAGGGCTAGAGAGGGCGGGGCTAGGCAGGCCTCAAGCAGGTGTGAGCAGCCAGGCCAGGCCCAGGCACGAAGGACCTGGCCCATCCCCAGCTGCAATTCAGAGGAGGGCGCATGGGGGAAGGCAGGACAGCCATGGGGCCAGCGCCCGAAGGAAGCCTCACCCTCGGCCCCTTGGCGCCCAGCTATCTGTGCGGACCTCGGCCCCCTTCTCATTCCTAACGTCCGTTCAAACACGGTGGTCTCAGGCCTTTGCCTTCACGGGAGGGGGAGGGCAGTAAGGACGGAGGAACAAGTCTGCGGCAGCCACGCTATACCAGTAGCAGTGGGGAGCCCGCTCCCACACTTCCCTCCCAGACCTCCCAGCCCTACTGCAGGATGGGGGCCGAGGGAGCCCACCGCGCACCGTGCCCTGCACATGTCCTCCTCCTGCACCGCATCTCAAAAGGTCACCTGTCAACAACCGCCAGCGGCCAAGCGCACAACCTGCCTCTGTCCCACACTCTTGTTGCTGAACATCCAAGAGTCACGTGGAGGAACCAAAACACAGCGACAAGGCCAACTACAAAACCGCTGGTCCGTCGGGCATGGCTGGGGGGACGAGGGGTCTCCTGGTCAGTTTGCGGACACTGACCCCTCCTTGGCTGGAGGTCAGGTACAGCGGAGGCGCCGCGAAGGGCGCAGGGAGGGAGGCGCGGCTCTGGGGCGGGCGGGGTGCGCGCTGCGGAAGCCGGGTGCAGGGAGCAAGGATGGGGTAAGCACTGGGGCGCAGAGGAGCGGGACCGTGCGGGCTCGGCGTGGGGCGGGGAGGACCCGGATTGGCGCGAGCGGGCCGTGATGTCACGTCCGGCGGGGGAAGCCCTGCCTCGGTGGCCCCTGCCCCCGCCCCACAGGTGGCGCCGCCGCCCCAGGCTCTGGGCGTGGGAGTCTAGCCCTAGGAGACCCCAGCCGCTGCCCTTGCGCTCCAGACTCCTCCCGCCTCGCGAAGCGCCAGATCGATAACGCCGGCCGCGGACCCCGCGCGCGACCCGGAGCCGTGTAGCGCCCCCCTCGCACCCCGCGCCGCTGCCCCGCCCCGGCTCCCTGCCC